GGTATTTTGATGTCATACACCGATCGGTCTGCACACGCAAACAAAGCCAAAACCTAGATATTTTAGGCAATATAGAAATCCTGGCCAGAACGCGTCCTGGGAAAATGGCACGTATGGTCACCCTAACACATACATCTCAGAGACCTCTATTTGACGTCTGCATTACATCTGCAAGACGTATTTTTTAGAGTGTTTGCTCATCTGCGATACGTCTACAGGATGTTTCCTATCAAATGTCAAATAGACGTTTAGAAGATGTTTTTAAGATGTTAATGATTTAGAATGAATGTAAAACTGACATCTTAAAGACGTCTATTAGATGTTTGTACACAGCAGATGCTTTCCAGATGAAGCGATCTTTAACAGACATCTTGCAGACGTACCTGTGCTATCTGGGTATAGCGTGCGCCGTAAATCGCTCCGTACGGGATAACTGTTTAGAAGTAACGGTGAGAACAATATTGTTAACTACATTAGCGGTCATTAATTTGATACTTAACATGAACATATTGTCCGCGACTATTTATCGATGTTGTTACCAATGTTTTAAGAACAAAAATCAGCAGCGATCTATATTCCGTCATAGATATTCATGGTCTAGGGACTGAAATATGCAAAAATAAGCATTTATTGAAGAGAACCGTGAGAACATGATCCAGAATCCTGCAGTATGAAACCTAATGAAGGACAAAGAGATTGGTTTATGCTTATTCTTTATTGAAAAGAAACTAAGGTCACAACATAGTTACATCTAATAATATATGGACAGATAACCCTGTTGAAAAAAACAGCATATGCTGGTTAGGTATGTTTTGACGCTGGGATGCTGGTTTAAGCTGGTCCTTTGCTGGTTTAAGCTGGGCCTTTGCTGGTTTAAGCTGGGCCTTTGCTGGTTTAAGCTGGGCCTTTGCTGGTTTAAGCTGGGCCTTTGCTGGTTTAAGCTGGGCCTTTGCTGGTTTAAGCTGGGCCTTTGCTGGTTTAAGCTGGGCCTTTGCTGGTTTAAGCTGGGCCTTTGCTGGTTTAAGCTGGGCCTTTGCTGGTTTAAGCTGGGCCTTTGCTGGTTTAAGCTGGGCCTTTGCTGGTTTAAGCTGGGCCTTTGCTGGTTTAAGCTGGGCCTTTGCTGGTTTAAGCTGGGCCTTTGCTGGTTTAAGCTGGGCCTTTGCTGGTTTAAGCTGGGCCTTTGCTGGTTTAAGCTGGGCCTTTGCTGGTTTAAGCTGGGCCTTTGCTGGTTTAAGCTGGGCCTTTGCTGGTTTAAGCTGGGCCTTTGCTGGTTTAAGCTGGGCCTTTGCTGGTTTAAGCTGGGCCTTTGCTGGTTTAAGCTGGGCCTTTGCTGGTTTAAGCTGGGCCTTTGCTGGTTTAAGCTGGGCCTTTGCTGGTTTAAGCTGGGCCTTTGCTGGTTTAAGCTGGGCCTTTGCTGGTTTAAGCTGGTCCTTTGCTGGTTTAAGCTGGTCCTCTTCCGCTGCTCGGTACGCTTTCAACTCGTTTTTTTTTTTGTCTCAAGTAAGACACTGTATGACACTCACGTTACATGATTTGACTGATTTTTACGTAGAAAGGGCGACAGCGCACCACATTAAAATAAATGACATAAGCGGCTTTCATAACCGCTGGCCAAATTCAAAAACGAAACTAAAATTAAATCATCTTTGAGAGCAAGGGGGCCCCCTGGTGTTTCGGGGGCCCTACGCAGCTTGCGTACTTTGCGTATAGGGAGGATCGGCTCTGCTGTTAGGTATTGACGTATTTTTACCTCCTATTGTAACAACTTTTTATTATGGTCAGTTAGGTCTGATGGAGGTGAAAGAGGAACATAAAAACGTGAATGAGGTGGAGGAGGAACATCATCTCTCCATCACTGGTGAAAAACCTTTGACTCTCTCACAAAAAACAACCAGATTCAAGAAGTCTTACATCTGCCCTCAGTGCGGAACGAGTTTTTCAGGTAAAACACGACTCGAGCACCACATAAGAATTCACACTGGAGAGAAACCATTCACGTGTGTGTGAGTGCACGAAGAGTTTCGCGTGTAAAGAAAGACTTGACAGGCACAGGTGAAAATCCACACCGGAGAACGGCCTTACAGTCGCGAGCAATGCGGGAAGAGTTTCCGACATGTCAACGGTCTCGAAGATCACCAGCTCTCTCACGCCACAGTGAGGTCTTTTAACTGTGATCAGTGCGGTAAGGATTTTATTACAGCGTCAGCACTGAAGAGACACTTGAGAGTTCATTCAGATGAGAAGCCTTACTTGTGCTCTCTGTGTGGAAGGAGTTTTGCACGGGTGGACTGTTTTAAAAGGCACCGAAAGGTCCATAGTGGTGTGAAAGATCACGTGTGCTATAGTGCGGGAAGGCTTTTAGCTAGCTAGCTGGAGGCAGCAAAACAAAGGGGAAACTGGAGGCGGCCCATTGGTTCGTGAAAAATCACAGCTACTTTATGCAGGCTGTGTGCATTTTACTCTGTGGACACTGTTTTGAAACTTATATGGTAGTTACATAGCACCTAGACCTCAGTTATCATAAGATGTATACAAAGTGTGCTTGTCTTCATTAAACCCTGCTGTTTTCAACTGTGAAATAAATTAGGAGTATTATGCCATTTTCAGGCAAATTCAGTTAAATTGGTTTATGGATATACATGTACTTTTCTTATAATCTTGTCGCTGAATTCCTTGTTTTTGCAGCAGTTTGCTGTTTCTGACCAAAAGGTCATTCAGTATGTTTTGGGTTTTTTTCAGTATGTGTTGTGTTTTGACAGCTAGCAGCGAATATAAAGCATTATTCAAAAGCAAAAAGTTGGCGAGAGTGGAGGAAAATCTTAGCTGTTCACAAATGCAAACCAAAACATTTAAACAGGTTTTACGTGTCTTTTATTTAAAACTAAGTACATGTCAGGTAGCCTACACTTTTCTAATGGCACTGCAGAATACGTTCTTTATCAAGTTCCCTGCATCTCCTGCGCTGTATTTTGTAATCCAGTAGGTGGCGGAAATGTACCATCAACTGTTTTGTGTCTCGCCATGAAACGTAGAAGAAGATGATGCTGGGGCAGCTGTAAAGATGTAGGTTTAGTTTAAATTTTCTTTTTTAAGTGATGTTTTATTGGTGTCAGGTTGCATAAACAAAGATGCTGTCCAATGTTTATTTTATTTGTATCATTAGATTTTTTGGAACAGAAAAAAATTTCCTGTTTCCTGTTCCATGGAAATCATGGAACAGCATTTATTTTAACGTTTTATGCACACAAACGGTTGTTCGTTGGTTGGGCAATATACGCTAAATTAATAAAACGATACATATTTGGAAAAGTGATGAATAGAAATAATAATTATGACGTTTCCAAAAGTCGTATAGTGAGAGCTAGCACAAATACAAATGATTTTCATATGAAGATCAAAAGTGATTTTGTTGAGGTAATTCCGTTGACGTTTCCCGCGCTCCGACTTTAACGGTCGATCAGTTCGCAACCAGTAATTACGCTACCAATTTCCCGAACCTCAAGTACATAATTTTGCTTCGTTCTCAGACGTTAATGAAAATAAAGATAACACACAGTTCAGATGATTCACTGATCGCTTTGATTGATTCCATCCCTTACGAAAATTAACCATGGTTTTATTATAGTAAAAGTAACCATGGTTTTTTTTTGGCGTATTGATTACCATTTGTATAACCACAGTTTT